GAGGGGGCACGGAAAAAAAGGGCCACAAATTTGGGGTTGAAGACACAAAAAGTCAGGGAGATAGTAGGAAATATTTCTTCAGTCATAGAGTTGAAAACGTGGATAGTAGAAAAAGACGTAGTGAGGCAGGAACCCTAAAACCCGTTTAAGCGAAAGTTTGTAAAGCTCATGGAGCGGGGAGGAGAGGGCTATTCGCCCGGGGAAGAGGGGGGGCCCGGAGCTAGGATCGACCCCCGCAACCACAAATAGGGGAGTCACCCCACAAACCACACAACTTTACACAACACACCAACATTCCGCACACATCACAAATTCTCCCCACCCACACACACACACCCACCACACCCCAACAACACCACAAAACCCACACAAACTCAACACACCCACAACCACACAAATTCTCACACACACCACACCACACACACACACAAAAACTCACTCACACACACACACCAAACACACACACAACAAACACACACACACACACCACACACACACACTCACCAAAACACACATAACCACCATACAAACACACACACACAGGGGCTTTGGGCTCGACCCCGTCTCAGCTAAGGGGAGTGCAAACACACCACACCACCACACCACAAACCCAAAACCCCGTGGGAAGCTTTATTTACAGCTAGCAAATCAGGGTATTTCTCCAGAATGGTCTGTAATATACCACTGTGGATAAAATACTTTGCCATTTCTTGATTATTTCTGAGTGAGTTGTTTCTAAATTCATTAATTTTATCACACTCCAGTACATAATGATGCAAGGTGTGACAATAGTCCATCTGGCAAAGTTTACATTTCGTTTGGTCTACATCTGGTGGTGGTGATTTAACCTGCCAAAGATGCTTGTAACCCAGCCGGAGCCGGGCAGTAGTGACATCCAAGAGTCTGCTTATCTTGTTGGATGCACCATAGACATGTGGCTCCTCCTGCATGATAGAATGATGATAGATGGACTGACTGGTGTCAGTCTCCCCGAGTCTTAAGTCAATAAAATTCAGTTGAAGTTCTTTTCGTATTATTGTTCTCAAACTACTACATGACAAGCCAAGATTGTAATCTACTCCCTCTTTGAAAGCATACAGCTTAGCCAATTATCAATTCTATCATGCATCCGAAGACCAATGTGAGATGGAATCCACAGCATGTGCACTCTGACTCCACTGTCCGCAATCTTATCATACCTATGTCTGGCTTCTGACACAAGCATGCCACAATTTATACTTAATGAGTTGAGAGCATTTATGGATGACAGAGAATCAGTTACAATTAAACTGTCAATCTTAGATAGATGCATTTCAGTGCAAGGAGTATGGGAAACAGCTCTGTCTGAAGGGTAGAGGCCCAATTATTGATGCGTGCTCCAAATTCTTTAAGAGAGCCATCACTCTGTACGACAACAGCAGCAATACCAGCTGCACCAGTGGATTGGTGAACAGAACCATCAACGTAAATAATTTGCGAGAGTGTGTGCTGTGTGACTAAGTTATCAATACAGCTTAAGGCATCATGTTTGGCTTCAAGGCGAAGTTTTGGTTGTGATTTAAGAAGTAGTTTGGGGGGAAATGGAGGAATGGTAGTTTGGAATGGGGTAATATCCCATGGAGCGGAGAAGTACCGCTGTTGCCTTACTTGACATAGATCATGTATCTGATTCATGCGAGTTGTGCAAATTGTAGGTGACCTTGAACCCACACATATCTATGGAGGTGTCCTTGATCTGTTCCTGGGCTTCAACATTACTTCTGCCAGCTGTGAGTCTTCCATTATAACAGATGTAGCGTCTGATCATTTCCCTAGGCTAACCTCACTAGATATTGGTAATACTATCCTTCTTGGTGGGATATTCAAACGGAAACGTTTTAATGTTCCCACTGATCAGCATGATGACTTTGTTGCACATGTGACTGACTGGTATAATTCCTATGAGTGTTCCTCTGTAGAGACCTTTAACAATGATCTTGTGAGCAGTATTCAGAACTACTTAGAGCCGCCACTGAAACCTCTTGGTACTCTAAACCCAACAAACTTCCATAATAATCATACCTCCTTCAAAAACCATACTTATTACAATGATTCTAAACTTCGTACACTGAAACGTACTGCTCGCAGACTAGGCCTAGCCTATAGAAAACATCGTACCCCTGGAATGCTGAGGCTCTTCCAAACTGCCCTTGCTGCTGCCAGAGAGCGTATGACAGAGCTGCGGCAGACTGGGAAAAATTTGTCAACGGTCTTAATGCTCACACCCCACTTAGCCGGGCATGGAGAGACATAAATAGAATTAAGGGTAACAGAACTGGGCAGATCGCGCACCCTCATCCCTTACATAGGGCGAATGAGTTAGTCAGTGCTTGGGCTGCTACATCTAGCTATGACAATCTTCCCAGTACCACAGAGGAAAAATTAAATGACAAATATGATGCAAGGGAGAGACTTGTTTGCATTATGCTCAGCAAAGAAGAAGACTGCAACATTCCTTTCACTAATTATGAACTTGATGCAGCACTAACTAAGGGCAACTCCACGTCGCCTGGTGAGGATGGTATTACTTACAACATACTCAGATTGCTGTGTCGAGTACCAGGTAATCCATTACTTGAATTATATAACATGAGCTATGTAACTGGGGAGCTCCCTCAATCTTGGACCAACAGCCTCATCATTCCAATTCCTAAGCCCAATCAACAAAATGCATTTCGCCCAATATCTCTTACTAGCTGCTTGTGTAAAACATTTGAGAGAATGATTCTTAATCGTCTCATGTACAGAATCAAACAATTTTTGTCTCCCCGGTTACATGGTTTCATGCATGGAAGGAGCGTGCATCATTGCATAGCCACCTTTCTCACCCTGCACACTGATAGCTCATACACTACCTTCCTTGACCTTAAATCCGCTTTCGATGTAGCCAACCGACATGTAATCATTAGTGAACTTGCCAGAATGGATGTTGGAGGATGGCTTCTCCGCTGGATTAAAGGCTACCTGTCCAACAGAAAATCGTCTGTGTTGTTCCAGGGACATAGATGTGTAACTAAAGACTTTGAATTAGGAACCCCACAGGGAGGTGTGCTCAGTCCCACACTGTTCAATATTCTAATTAATGCATTACTTAATGCTATGCCTAGTCAGCCCCATCATTATATGATTAGTTTTGTAATAAAGTTGGTAGAATTACCGACAATATGTAAAGTAAAAGGACACAAGTGCAACTAATGTGATATTTATTGTGGCAACGTTTCGCTCTCCAGGAGCTTTATCAAGCCAAGTAATGGCTTGATAAAGCTCCTGGAGAGCGAAACGTTGCCACAATAAATATCACATTAGTTGCACTTGTGTCCTTTTACTTTACATGATTAGTTTTGCTGATGATATAATGATTCACACCACCGGATTCTCCAGCACCCAAAGCATTCTTAATCATGTACTAGCCTCGTGTCAGGACCTGGGGTTGATAATCTCTACTGATAAAACAAAAATACTCAATAGGCGTCCTCCTCGACAGAGAGGCACAGTTCGTCAGATCCAATTGCATGATGGGTCTCTCTTAGAATATGTAAGCAGATACAGGTATCTAGGCTTTGAGGTTCCACTATTTGGACGTTGTAACAAGACTTTGTCGCCAATACAAAGAAAGACTAAGAGCACTTAGAGTTGTGGCTGGGTTTCACCCCAGGTATGATGCTAATGTTAAAATTGTGAAAATGATGTATCATTGGTTGATTATGCTGCGCCACTACTTGCTCTTGTGTCTGACTGGAAGCTTGGAGAGCTGGAAAAACTGCAGAACGAAGCAATGAGGATCATTTTAGGATGCCCTCGTACTGCCAAAATTTTAAATATGCAAAAAGAATTTGATATTCCAAGCATCAGAGATCGTGTTACTGAAAGAAATATCCTAATTGGGGTTAATATGCTCAGGCAAGCTCATTCAAACCCCTGCACAGAAGCCCTCCAAACTTTCCTCAGCACTGGTGAACACTCCTCCAGATGGATCGAAAAAACTGCCGGCCCTACTAACCCCACCCTGCCAGCCCCACTAACCCCACCCTGCCAGCCCCACTAACCCCACCCTGTCGGCCCCACTAACCCCACCCTGCCAGCCCCGCTAATCCCACCCTGTCGGCCACACTAACCCCACCCTGCCGGCCCCACTAACCCCACCCTGTCGGCCACACTAACCCCACCCTGTCTGCCACACTAACCCCACCCTGTCGGCCACACTAACCCCACCCTGTGGGCCACACTAACCCCACCCTGTGGGCCACACTAACCCCACCCTGCCAGCCACACTAACCACACCTTGCCAGCCACACCACTTACCACACCACGCCAGTCATATAACTTACCTCTCCCTGCCAGCCATATCACTTACCACTCCCTGCTAGCCACACCACTTACCACACCCTGCCAACCATATCACTTACCACCCACTGCCAGCCACACCACTTACCACACCCTTCTAACCATATCATTTATCACCCCCTGCCAGCCACACCACTTACCACACCCTGCCAACCATATCACTTACTACCCCCTGCCAGCCACACCACTTACCACACCCTTCCAACCATATCATTTATCACCCCCTGCCAGCCACACCACTTACCACACGTGGAGAAATTTTCTCCAACCCCCAGGGGATCGACGCCCCCTGGGGACAGTGACGCCCCCTGTGGTCAGAGACTCCCCCTGGGGGCAGCGTCCCCTCTAAAGAGTTGAGATCCCTCTCTTTCTCTCCTCAGTGTGAGAAAAGGTCAAGAAGATAGTCAAGAATGTTTTATCCGTCCACAGCTGAGATGAGAGAGCTCGGATTTCATGCATACGTACCTCAATTAAGCTTCCATCTTACCCAAAATCCCACACACCACACCGTACCAGCCACACCCTGCCAGCCACACCACTTACCATACCCTGCCAGCCACACCACTTGTCACACCCTGCCAGCCACATCACTAACTCTACCATTGCTACTCCCACAGGACTGTCGGTGCTGCAGGGAGACTCACCTGAGGGCACGGGAGGTAAAGTTAACTCACTGCTACGACGCTGACGGTAACAGACTGGCTGGTGAACGAGGTGCCCTGGTCATTACCCTCAGGGAACCCAGCGAGTGTCAGTGTCTCAAGTGTGGCGACTCAACACGATAGTTAACATCACTTTCGTCCCAGTCACCACCAGCCTCACCTCTGACTTCTGATCCTGACAGCCTCAACACAACCTCAACTCTCACCCTAGCATACTCCTGCTCCTGCTGGCCTGTCTTAATGACTTCTATTGCCTGTCTTCACGATGTTTTCCCCTTCCCAACCCATCACAGTGACCTGTGACCCACCATCCTGGTCTTGTTTTGTGGACTGACTCCACCTTCACTTACCTTGATACCATGGTATTTTGCTTCTTGTAACCTCAGATCTAGAGAAGCACCGCGACGGTCCAGAACACCACCATGTTCCATGATGCGACGTCTGCTTCTCACAAGATCAAATTGCCGCTTCTGTTAGGATCAAGAAATATACTTTAATCAAAGCTATTATTTCTGATATGAACAGCATACAAGAGTTCTAGTTGTACTATTTTTTAAGCATTATTGTATTTTCTTACCCAGTTATTGGTTGCTTAGAGTAAGAAAATAAAGATAGCTGACATCCTCAATTCAACAAGCTTCATAAGATGCCAATATCAGACGAATACAATAACTAAGAACAGATGTTGCTGCCTCACACCTGTCCAAGAAGCTGCTAACATACAACGTGTGCCAGTAGACATATAATGCCACTTGATGTTTAGTTTAAGTGTTGTCTGAGCATTTGAAAATGGAGGAACGATTATAATCATGTGTTTTAGTGTTGCTTCTAGCCAGTGCTGTATTTCAAGGATATTTAATGTAAAATATTTATTATCTACATCTAGATTTAAAAAAGTATTTTAGAGTTTAGAATAACTATTTATATGTGCTACTCGTAGCCTCAAATGACTCTTAGTGTTGGATTATTAGTATTTATAATAGTCTGTTTATGACTGAGATTACCCAGTCTACCAATAATGGTTGTAATGTGCTTACGATACTGTGTGTTCAGAGTAACTCTAGCAGAATAGCAGGAGCAAACCTAGCACGTAAGGATCAGCACGTAAGAGGGTTGCAGGAGCGTGAGTGGTGCACGTAAGAATCAGCAAGTAAGAGGGTTGCAGGAGCGTGAGTGGTGCACGTAAGAATCAGCAAGAGGGTTGCAGGAGCGTGAGTGGTGCACGTAAGGATCAGCACATGTACAGAGGCCATGGCGAATACTATTTACATGTGACCTACTCTTCATAGTAGTAAAGAATTGATCTGTTCATTGTCTTTCACTGTCACTGCTGCGGTGTAGCGTCCCTCACCTCATGTCTTATTAGTAGAGTAAGAATATTTTATGTACTGTTGTAAATTCTATGCAAAAGGAAGCGCTAAACCTGTAGAAAACATAACTCTTTGGGAATGGGAGGTAAGGAGATTTGATTTAAAGAAAGGGAAGAGTAGCTTCAATTTCTTTGATCAAAAACCTTTCAGCAATATAATATCCCCCTCGAGGAGTACTGTGGTACACTGCTCTCTAATGGTCGCAATTAATGAAGGCCTCTTACCTGCCTGCTTACAGAGGCAGGTATCACACAGTGTACTTGCTTCTTGCACAGCAACGGACTAAAACAAAGGTGCCTTATCTGCTCATCGAACTCTTCTTCCTTAGCAAGTGAGGAAGAGAAAACAGCCAGGAGCTCTCATGACTGAGAGACCCGTGTGAAAGTTGAGTGTGACGAACTCTTGCACTTGGTAAATCACTCAGCGATCGTAATGACCCTTGTCGGTTTAGCGCTTTATTATTTGATTATAATAATAATCAACGATCGTATCAAAATAAATATAATTTTAAACATCAAAAGTAAAATTAACAAGTGATAAAGACTACCAGACATATACTATTACGCAAAGTTAAAAGAACCCAAACACTTTAAAACATCTCTTATAAACTGTCAGTGTCAAAATACTTAAAAGTTCTCAGAGGTCCCTACAGGCATCTCAGTAATTACCAAACCCACGATGTATGCTTTGAGGCTTAAGTTGAGGGGCAAATTGTTAAAATGTGTCCCACAGTCAGCTGCATGCCATAAACTACACAGGAGGCAGGGCTACCTGCAAACAGATGCTATGGTAAGTTGTGTGCTCCTGTTCCTAAATCGGTTGAGGGTAGTCACAATATGACGCTTCCTATTAATGGAGGAGGACCAGACACCCAGGATCTTGTGATTTCTCAGGACACCAACATGGTCTGGGCCCCTTCGGAACTCTGTATCCTATCATACATGAAAATAAGCTAATCATTCTTGGATCTTTTGGACCACCAGCTAGACAGAAGCATACTGGGCTGGGCCAGGGTAAACAGAGAGCTTTGGGAATCTTGAGTTGAAAATGAACCGGTATTCGCCGCCTAAACCAGCATTAGGGAAAGAGCAGTGATGATTGCATGTAGCTCTGCAGTGAACACAAAGAACTCATTTAATAACTTCCCTCGTTACGAGTCATCATCAATCGCCGAAAATTCAGCACCCTGACTCTGTGTAAATCAGTGAAGACCATTATAGCTGAATTATAACAAAAACATGCATAAATAAATTAAGCCAAAATTATTACCGGAGCTCGTCACTCAAGTTCGCAGCCATTGTCAACAAAGTTGAACCTCACGTCACCGTCCCCGTCCAAAGAAGACAGGGAGAGCAACTCTCAACCATTCTATCTACAGACAAATCAAGGCCACAGTCCAGGAGAGCAACCAACATCCAAAAACACAATGCCACAAGAAGTCTCACACAACTATCAAAAGTTTTCCTACATTTCTCCACCACAAAGGCTGTAGCATAGACTGGGTTAACAGGTGCACAGACCCGGCTCCTCACCCGAGATCCAGAACAGCTGATCCTCTTAATAGCACACAATATTTCAGTGTTGCCGAGACAGTTGAACTGGTGACCATTCATATGCCTTAACTATGAATTATCTGACTATTTTTCAGAGCGCTTGGTTAAATGCACATGGATATTTGTGCATTTAATGGCATTATGGTGTGCTATTATTGGTTAATTTTTAATGATTAATAACTATTTATCCCAACCAAATCTAAGATAACCTAACCTATATAACCGAAAAATTTATTGAATAAGATATGGGAAAAATTCTGTGATGAATCCACTGACGAATCTGTCGCTATATAGACTGTTTAGCAACAGTCGAAATTTCAGTAGAATTGTTTTGCAACTGCACAACATGAGTTCTCGCCAAAAGTCACAGTAAAGCCATCGCCATTTTTTGGATCTGTAAAGACTTTCATTTTTAAACCATAAGAAAATTCATAATCCGAACAATCTTAGGAATTCCCTATCAACTGCTTAGAAAGATAAACCTCAAACACTGTCCAAGGAAGGCAGAGTTGCCAACCTCTCTGACCAGACGCACGTCAAGGTCACAGTCCAGGAGAGCCTCCATACATACACCATATGACACAACAAGCCTCGTACAATGAGGAAAGCGCTCCCCTTCTGTATTATCCACAATGACCATAACATATGCTATGGTACGAAGTGCATACTGAATCCGAAATAGGTAGCGCCGGCGTAGCCTCTCACGGCAGAGATCCAGGAGAACCTAACTAGACAACAATATCGCCAGACGGTAGACGAGATAAATAACAAAAAGGCACAATACCGTGACTGGAACAATACACAAATAACTACGACGTTTCGGTCCGACTTGGACCATTTACAAAGTCACACTAATTTAGTGTGACTTTGTAAATGGTCCGAAACGTCGTCGTAAGCTCCCCTCTCCTATGTGCGGGTTATTTGTGATAGACGAGATATAACAAGTGCAGCAAGAAAGAGCTGGCAGAGAAATAGATCCGTTATAAGTTTACTCCAGGTCCACGGAAACCTCCGATGTATGATGACATCTGGCAGCTCCCTCCTGGATGTCCCAGAATGTCTCTGGACCAAGGGATCAATCACTGACCGGAATTTGTGGAAGTCAAACTGCACGGATGAGATGAAGCCTTCCTTCTCTAGGTACCAAACCAGACAAACAATCAACGGTCTCCAACAATTTCCAGAAGTTGTTTATGAGAGACTGAGTAACAGTTCAAAACTTCCCTCGAGTCCCAGCTTGGCTTGGGAAAAGCCAGAACCACATATTGCTGTCAACTGTTGGGAAACAACCCACTTGTCTAAATAAATTAAATATGTCCAATAAAACAGGTTAGGGAGAGTGGAAGGTGCCACAACATGCCGTAATAAACCCTATCCTCACCTTCCCAGAGCTATTGTTATTATAATCAAGGGGGAAGCGCTAAACCCGGAGGATTATACAGCGCCTGGGGGGGGGATGTGGAAGGCATTCAGGCTTAATTCGGGGAACTGGAGCACAGATCCAATTCCCTAAATCAAGAGCCCCTCACCAACATCAAGGAACCTTCCTTGAGGGGTGGCCCAGAGCTATGGAAGGTACCTTATACAAAACAGAAAATCCCCTCGTCCCAAACACATCACGAGATTTCCTAATGTCCTTCTCTGAGCCTGGAATTCAGGGCTGTAGCTCTCACCTCTTCAGTTTCAGAAGTATACTGAAAGTTATGGAACGTGATTTAATGGGAATAATTTTTTTTACACTATTTTAGACTTATAACTGTTAACTCTCCATCTACTTATTTCAATTTCTCTCTCCGCCGCCGCCATTTTTTGGTATCAATGTATAAAGTTTAAGCTCCTCTAGTAAGGAGGATTTTGGAAGTTATCCGAGCTAGTCCAGAATGCTGGGAATGTGTTCAATAACTTTGGTCACAGGGCACGTGAACATGCCAGTTGTTCCTAGAATTTGATTCTTGTTACCGACCACAATTATAATCAAAAGCACTAAACCACCAGGGTCAAACAACACTGCTATTATAATCAATGAAAGCGCTAAACCGACAAGGGTCATACAGCGCTGCTACAATACTACTAACGACTACAAGTGTTGGCAATCTGAGCCGTTTGGATAAGGTAGTTAGAGTTATAAGCAAATTTTTTTTTTATATTTTATTTAAAACATTATAAATTACAAGGTTTTATAAAATATTAAATAACTCCATAATACAGGATCTGAACAAGATTACTAAGAATCATGTCACAAGTGCAGAAGAAAAATTTTGAAAACCCAATACAAAATAGGAATGTGTAACAAACACGCAAAATACGCACATACCATTCACTGACATTATACCAAATGATAAAATATCTGACACACACACAAAATTGTTGGGGGGGGAGCCCCCCCCATTAAACCCATCTATAAATACATCCACATCATTCGCACACTTAATCACAGCAGTGGCCAAACATTAATTTATGTAACTTTTAGATAGACATGCAACTGTTTATGAGATTTTACTTTAAAACAAACTCTGGTAATTATCCTAAAACATTACTCCATAACAAAAATAAGCTTTATACAAATTACATGATCATATAAATCATCAACTGCAAAATTTATACAGCATATGTATAATCTTGGAACCTTTTGATCACAGACGAATTACTCACAGCAGATTCCACAGAATGGTTAAGTCTATTTATATTAGAAGAAATCCAATTATTTTTAAAATAATGAATTTGTAATGTATCTCCTCAAAAACTTTATGCAATAAAGGAGAAAAGTCACAACATACTCATATTGAAATATTCATTATTACAAAATAACTGGACTCTTACTAAAGCTTGGCTGAATTGATACATTTCAGTGAATTTTGTTGGAAGTAATCTCTGAACAGTCTCAAATGCTTAACTAATTATTATATCATTACAGCATTATATCTCATTAACCTTAACTAAGCAGTCTTCTGAAACTGACCAAGCTTACTGAACTATCACACCATACACCACACCTTTATTTATCAAAAGCATCACTCACGCCCACGTATACCTCAAGAAGCCAGCTTCATTTTACCCCTTAAGCTTGCTGTTGAGAATTTTGGCCTTACCTGCTGTGTTTATTATAACTATATATAATGAACACTTAGCTGATAAATGACAGCAAATCGTCTACACAGCCGCCCCTGCAGACGAGGTCTAGAAGCTGTCGAAACCATCACAACAGTGGGCTGTCAAGAGATACAATTTGTAAGTATAAATTACCCCTAGGGGGTGTTATGTCAGCATATTTCATTCGATGATGGCTGACGAAATACCTACTTGTTTGGACTCAAAAGTCCACACCTTACTGCCGATTATAGGTTGATTACAAACTCCTTGTGACTCAAGAATTGCGCAATCCCCCG